CAGTAAATTGTCGTGCCCATCCAGCGTCGTCGCGAGCATTTCCTGTGTAAATCCGAAATTCCCCCCGCAGCGAACTTTCACCCTCTCCACTTTCTCCCACATGGCCAGTGGCGTGCTGTCAACTGAACGTCCGTCGATCCCCGGTAAACAGCGGCCAAGTATCAGTTGCAACTTCCGTGCGGTTGCGGTATTAACTAAGCTGTGACTTGCTCCTCCGTCGATAAAAATCTTCACTGCTGTCCCCTGTATTTTCCCGTAAATCAGTATTGGGCAATCCGTCGCTGTACCCCCCTTATGCATCCGAGCCCGATCGATGGCGTGAATCGGTACTGTGACTCGGTGAGGGTCGGTGAGGTTGGGCGAGCAGGTTGTCTCGTCAGTAGTTGGCCCGTTTTCTACTGACTGCTGGCGTTCCCCTGCCTCTGAGACTCCCTTCCCTGCTCTGTTCCGCGGCGTCTCAGCTCCTCTATGCATTCGCTCTTGCGATGGCCCGGCCCATTGCAAGCAAAGCAGCGCCCCTTAAATTGCGCAGCAGCTGCATTCGCCGCAACAGCGTGTACGGTGACGTGCTCGGTCGGCCCCCGAGGGCGATGTCCGTCATAGGACCCCGGTCTCGGACAGCGCAAAATGTCGATTTTCTCGGCGAGCGCGAGGATTTCGTTGAAATTCGATAGCCCGCGTAGCATGATTTCGTGCGAGATGTTCGGCTTCAGCCCTCTGACGTAACGGTCCACCCGCTCCACCTCGTGCATGTAGCCGACTTGCTCGCATAGTGCGAGAAAACCGCTGGTATAATCTTGGACCGACCCAAGTTGTCGCCAAGTACGCAGTTTCTAACGCTCTGAAATAGAAGCCGCGATCGGCTCGAAGCGCGCCCGAAGCCCTGCGCACCACGCATCACACGTGCTGTACTGGGCGGTTTCGCAAAATGAACACCAGGTGACAGCTGGACCCATGGGCCCTTCCTCTTGCGACGGTGGCTCATAGGCGCGTGGCGACGTCACAATGACTCGCCACCAGTCCATGGCGGGACCCCATAGCAGCGAAACGTCGTATCGTATCTTCGCTGCGTCCGACTCGATGTAATTCGCGTCGAAGAAGACGTTCATCGTGAAGACCCACAATTGAGCCGTCGGACCTCCACGTAGGTTGGGATCAAAGCAGGGTGGGCGTTGCGGCTCGAGCGGCATCGGTGCAATGATGTTATCGTTACCGCTTGTTGCTGCAAATTCGATGTGACGACGGGCTTCGCGAGGCCCGCTCGTGCTTGGTGCGGCCCTGTTCCTCTCCATGCCGGGCATTGATTGGGCGGCGCCATCATTGGCTGCGCCTGAGCGCTCTCCCACGCTGTCGTGATGTGACGGTGTGGCGGATGAGATGAAAATTGGCTCATCCGATTGCGCATGTGCATTTGCAGGTGCTTGTGTTGGTGCTGGTATATTCACTGTTGATTGCTGGCGGGCGGGGTCACGTTCCGCCGTGAGAGTTGCGATTTCAAGCACCGAATCTTCGAGTTGGCGCACGAGATGGTCGAGCTGTTCCTGCATCAACGTCGCAAGGTCGAGTTCGGCCATGGCGGGGGTGTCGAGCAAGCTGAGCGAGAGCCTCAGTCGTGGCCGTGCGTGCTTTCGAGAGAGCACTTCGAGTGGCGGTACCTGAACGATGAGGGACGTCTACTCCCCCCAAATAATGAGATAGTGGGGAAGCGAAGGTGTGGGTGCAGTCCGAGAAGAGATTGTAGGCTCCGAATACCAAGTGTTACGAGTGCAATTGAGCGAGCGAGCGAGAATTGCACTATCGAAGCAAACGATACAGTGAGCGAAGGCATGAGTCACGAATATATAGCGAAGCTAGCGTGGTAACGGTAACGCGAGAAATTGGGGTGCGCTACAGGCCTAGCGCCGAGGTTGGGAAATGTCGAGGCGGAGGTCCGGAGCGTGGGTTACCAACCGAACCATGATGTTGGGTCGCATCGTGAATAGTGGCGGGAGTCGTGGTCGAAGCGAGTGTCGCGAGCGGGTAACGTTTCACTGTTGGGTGCTGGTGGCGGGAATGGTCATGTACGTGGTAAGCAGGGGCGCGAAGTAAGGAAAATGATTTTTCCTTACACACACCCACATATGGGATTTTTGCCAAAGCCATTGAACGAGTTGCATTGCGGAGCGTCATTCTTCCAAGGAATCGATGCCGTTAGATCTCCAACTCTGGCTGGATCCCGTGGATTTCAATTTTTCGATCTGTTGCGCCCAACCCTGCCAAATGACAGGGTGACATTTGGAGAACCCTGTTTTTCCCGTAAAATCCAAACCTGGGCAGGGTGTTGTCAAAGAAAATTTATCACGGGCAGGGTGTCAGTTTCACTCAGAAAACAAAGGTAACCAACTTAGAACACCCTAAAATAACCCAGCATGATAAAACCGAGTCAAACAAGCACACTCACGACAGAAATTGCATCTGCAATAGTTTGTCTCATGTGCGAAGGAGCTTCGGCAGCTTCCGATGGCCAGTCTGGGATTCGGGATTTCCAGTCATGACGCTCAGCATTCACCAGCAGCGCGACCTGGGCTTGGGTTTTTGTTTCTAGGCTTTTGTGTCAAATGTGGTGCATCACCTCGCGTGAAAATTTTGAGCACTCACCCCAAATGTACAAATGCTTTGTTTCAGTTCGGTCTCATGGGTTTCCAGCTGTTAAAACCAGGGTACACATTCAACGCGACTCCAGGCTAAATTTTGGGCGGCATGTTTGCGGGAACTGCTGATTGGTTGACGAGTAGCGAATAAATAGTTGAGAATGGGCGAGCATGGGGCTTTTCGTCCGTGAGAGATGAGGCTTGGCAGGGGAGAAATTGATAACACTTGGATCTAGAAATTGGGGATCAAGGGGAGGGCAACTGGGTTGGCGGAAAGGGGAAAGGGGGTGAGACGATATTGTGGGGGAAGGGGAAACAATTTCGGTGGGAGCGGAATAGGTATGGGGAGGGGGGAAACGAATTGGCGGAAGCACATTCGATGACTTCGGTTTACATTTGCCAAATCTCGAGGGTTCAAATGTTCACCTGCTGAAGCGAACACTCCCCCCAGATATTCCTAAATAACTGCTGCATCACTTCTCCCATCATCATCGCTCCCACACATCCAAGTCATATCTCATCCTCATCCTATCCTCTTTCGCAAATACGTCAAGCACTGCCAATAACTGCCTGCACGCCGGACCCTGCACGGACCTACTACTAGTAAAGGAACATTTGGCTTTCCTGACAGCTTCTAGCCGCAGTATCTGGGAGAACGCCACTGGTGTAAAGCGCGCTCAATATTCTCAGAACTGCTCATAGACATAGTTCCGTCAACGATTATAGTAACACTATTATGATGTCATCGTGCAACTTCCAGCGGGCCCCGTCGCATGATCCCCGGCGTTGCCGTTCGCAAGATTCCGCCGAACGCGCCGCTGAATCTGCTTTCTCGCTCTCCCCGCGTGATCTGCTCCCTCCGCAAAGTTCACTCTCCGCGCACTTCCCGCATCCCCCGAATTTCCCACGCTCCCCGCTTTCCCCGCGGGCGAATCCAGCGCTCCGCAGCCAATCCTGCCCGATTGACCAATCAGATCCCGTCTACGCGCAACACAAGGCGCTCACGCGCAGCGCCAGCGCCGCCGCGCTGCCGCATTCAGGCGTGGAACTTTCCCGCCGCACCGGTGACTTCAACCGTGGCGCATCTGCCGCCGCACTCCCCCTGCCTCCGCTCGAATGCGCATCGGCGCAGGCTTCCGCGGGATCTTCGCCGTCCGCGGACAGTATGCGCGGGGGCGCTTGCGCACTGCAGGCGACTCGGTCGTATTCGTCGCCGTTATTATCTCCCGCGGACGTAAGCGGCAACGGCAGCGGGAGCGACGGCGTCGGCGGCTCTGGCGGTAACGCTTTCGAGGGGCAGCGGGGCTTGCGCCAATCTGCGCGCACATTTGATCCCTCGATATTGCCGCGCCTGTCGCAGCGGAGAGCGCGCAGCAGCTTCGAGGCTGAGCGGCCATCCCTTGCGGAAAATCTCGGCCTATCCCCAATGGTGGTACTGATCGACGGGCGGCCAGCCTCGCCTGCGTTCGCGCTTCCCCCGCCCCCGCTTGCGGAATCACCCGCTGTTTCCGCGCCCAACACGCCGAAGCTTCCCAACCCGGCCGCCGTTGCGGCAACCCCGAGGGCCTTTGCGATGGAAAGCCCCAGCCAATCAGCAACAAGACCCAACCCAGTACAATCTACTCAGCAGCAGCAGCAGAGCGGCCGAACGGCTCTGAACGTCCCGGTACCAGCGTCTCCGCTAAATCGACAAATAAAGGTGGCGTGCGAAGCACGACCTCCGACACCGCGACCTCCCACTCCCCCAGGGAACGTCGCGATCCGCTCGTGAATCGCGGCCGACGCCATTCCCTCGGTTTTTTCGCAACAGGATTCGTGACCTCCGTGACCACGATCTCCCACTTGGGAGCGTCACGACCTGCTCGTGAATCGTGGCTCTGCTTTGGATTGAAGTTCTGCTCATTTTCTTCATGGCAGAAACGTTTTTACGCAGCAGAAGTTTTTTTTTTTTTGCCTTTCCTCAGTACCGTATCAGGTGTTGATAACATGGGATCCGCTTATACAGGTTCTGTGGCTGCTATGTATATTTGGTACAAGATGTCAGTGCGTACTACGTTTCCTGCACCATTGTGTACATTTATCTTTCAGAATTACATGTTTAGCCTTGCCTGATACTAACACACACACTACCATCTAGCGCTTAGAAATGTGACCTGCAACTTTTTTCCTCACCCTGCTGTGACTTGGTTAGCAGGTACATCTAGGTATAAGGGAATTGAAGCATAGATTTTCCACCGGCTGGGATGCTAGAGCTTAGAGAATGAGAGCAAACGTTTTACCAGCTAAACAGACTGGTGGAGCTAAGGAATGAGCCGATGAGAAAAAGACAGTAATGATGTTCCTCCACCTGAACATGGTTGATCCAGCCAATCAGTACAAGCCGTTGACCTTCCACCAGAAGGCACAAACTGCGATCCAAATGGCGAAGTTGACCGCTGCTGTGATGGCCCCAAACTTGAACACGTCCGGCAGGTCAATGTAGCCAGCTGCAGAACACAGAGGGAGGGAAAAGAGTAATAAGAATAATAAACGCCTGCTACAAATGCAGTGATGGTTCCAAACTTGAATGTGTCTGGCAGGCCCAGTTGCGGAACACAGAGAGGGAGGGAAGATAAGGGAAGGAGTGATGAGAGGAGGAGGGGGGGGAGGAGGAGGAAGAATGTGCAGCATCTTACAGCCGCTTATGGGCAGCCGTTATGTCCCAGAGCTGAACATTAAGTCTATATAGGCAGCTTTGAGATGTCTCAAAAACTTTTGAGACGTCTCAAAAGCAACTTCTTTAGAGGCAGCTTCATAGTACAAAATGCATCATATCCGTTGCAAGCTGACCTGCATACTACAGCACAGCCTGCCCACTGCTTTAGTAGGTGATGGAGCCAAACAGGTTGAACCCTTGAACCCTCATCAGCACTTCATACCCGTTATAGTCACACTCACCTCCATAGTACAACGCAGCCTGCCCACTGCTGTAGTGCGTGATGGAGCCAAACAGGTTGGTGTTGAGCTCGAGAGCCAATGCTGCGAGGACACCTGGCACGCCTGCCGCCAGCTGCATCGCCAGGAACGCCGAATAGAGAGCGCCCACGTGGCCGGTTTGGCTGGCAAAGAGGTAGTGCGAGCCAAAGTACATAGCCTGAGGGAACATGGGAATGGTGAAATGGGGAAAAAGGGTGTAGGGGTAAGGGTGGGATGAGGCTTGCAGGCATGAGCAGTAGAGAGCACCCACGTGGCTGGTTTGGCTGGCAAAGAGGTAGTGCGATTCGAAATACATGGCCTGGAGGGAAAGGAAAAGAGGGTAAAAAGGGGTGGTGAAGGTACCTGAAGAAAGAGAAACACCAACAACAGAGAGACAGAGAGACCCATGCACCTGCAGCTTGAAGAAGTTGCCGACCCACGCTCCTCCCGTCCCTGTCAACCCAGCAGCAGCCCAATGCATCATGCCCATGGCGTTGAGACAAAGAGAGAACCACAAAGAGACAGGAATACAAGGAGAGAACCACCCACCTGGAGCTTGAAGAAATTCCCAACCCACGCTCCTCCTGCGCCTGTCAACCCCGCTGCCACGTTATCGGCCATCCACTGCACGATGCCCATGGCGTTGAGTTGCGCTGACATGCCGATTAGCACGGCGAACCATGCCAGTGTGTCCCATGCTGACTTCTCTGCGAGACAGTCGTTCCACGAGAGCACTCCTGAAAGCAGCAGCACACAGAGGGCGATCATCGCCGCTACCACGCTAGGGATGCCAATAGAGTCTCTGGTAAGGGGGAGAGTGGGGAAGAAGAGGAGGAGACAAGGGAGGGAGGGCCGGGACGGGGAGGGAAAGAAGGAAAAGAGAAGCATGGGGAACCACGCTGGTACTGCTGTCCTTCCAACCATGAGTGACCATGCCAGCATGTCCCATGCTGACTTCTCTGCGAGACAGTCGTTCCACGAGAGCACTCCTGAGAGCACTCTTGTTTTGAGTCGACTCAAAACACGTCTCTGGGAAGGGAGGAGAGCAGGGGAGTGGAGGGGGCGAGAGGGGGAGAGATGGGAAGGAGGGGAGGGAAGGGGGGGGAGGCGGTAGAGAACGGGAAAAGAGGGGGGGTGGGTTGGTGCCTCATATAACACCCAGCCTCCCCCATACCACAGATAACACCTTTATGAAGGCAACTCTACGCCCAGGTGAAAAAAACATACCTGAGCACCCAGAGGGACACGGCGAGCAGCATGGTGCCAACCATAACGAGCTCGTTGGGCGTGACCGCTTTTGAGTCGACTCAAAAGCACACCCATAACGAGCTCGTTGGGTGTGACAGGGCCCATTCCCTTCAGCTTCACCTCTGCCAGCCCAGGCGCCTCAAATAACACCCACCTCCCCCCATACTGCAGATAACACCTCCCCTACCCCAGCACACGCTGAAACTTACCCGAGCACCCAGAGGGACACGGCGAGCAGCATGGTGCCAACCATAATGAGCTCGTTGGGCGTGACAGGCCCCATCTCCTTCAGCTTCACCTCTGCCAGCCCAGGCGCCTCAGGAGTGTCCTTGAGCTCGGGCGGGTAGAGGGTGAAGAGGAGGAGCGGCGTGACGAGGAGGCCGATGAGACCTGGAAAGGAGGAAAGGGGGTGCAGTAAAGAGGGCGGGAAAAGGCAAGGGAGCAAGGGGGACGCAGAGGCGTGGCCTTGAGCTCGGGCGGGCAGAGGGAGAAGAGGAGGAGCGGGGTGACCAGCAGGCTGATCGGACCTGCACGGGAGGAAGGGAAAACAGGCAGAGGGGTTGCAAGGGAAACATGCCACATGTGCATTAGAATCAAGTTTTGAGGCGCCTCAAGACTCCCCGAGCCGCATTACCCTGAGTTTCACCTCTGCCAGCCTGGGTGCATGAGGAGTGGTCTTGAGCTCGGGCAGGTAGAGGGTGACGAGGAGGAGAGGCGTCATGAGGTATCTGATGAGACCTGGAAAGGGAAGGAGGGATGACGAGGAGGGGGGGTGTGGGGAGGATGTGGGGAGGGTGTGGGGAGGGTGTGGGGAGGATGTGGGGAGGGTGTGGGGAGGGTGTGGGGAGGATGTGGGGAGGGTGTGGGGAGGGTGTGGGGAGGATGTGGGGAGGGTGTGGGGAGGGTGTGGGGAGGGTGTGGGGAGGGTGTGGGGAGGGTGTGGGGAGGATGTGGGGAGGGTGTGGGGAGGGTGTGGGGAGGATGTGGGGAGGGTGTGGGGAGGGTGTGGGGAGGATGTGGGGAGGGTGTGGGGAGGGTGTGGGGAGGATGTGGGGAGGGTGTGGGGAGGGTGTGGGGAGGATGTGGGGAGGGTGTGGGGAGGGTGTGGGGAGGATGTGGGGAGGGTGTGGGGAGGGTGTGGGGAGGGTGTGGGGAGGGTGTGGGGAGGGTGTGGGGAGGATGTGGGGAGGGTGTGGGGAGGGTGTGGGGAGGATGTGGGGAGGGTGTGGGGAGGGTGTGGGGAGGATGTGGGGAGGGTGTGGGGAGGGTGTGGGGAGGATGTGGGGAGGGTGTGGGGAGGGTGTGGGGAGGATGTGGGGAGGGTGTGGGGAGGGTGTGGGGAGGGTGTGGGGAGGGTGTGGGGAGGGTGTGGGGAGGATGTGGGGAGGGTGTGGGGAGGGTGTGGGGAGGATGTGGGGAGGGTGTGGGGAGGGTGTGGGGAGGATGTGGGGAGGGTGTGGGGAGGGTGTGGGGAGGATGTGGGGAGGGTGTGGGGAGGGTGTGGGGAGGATGTGGGGAGGGTGTGGGGAGGGTGTGGGGAGGATGTGGGGAGGGTGTGGGGAGGGTGTGGGGAGGGTGTGGGGAGGGTGTGGGGAGGGTGTGGGGAGGATGTGGGGAGGGTGTGGGGAGGGTGTGGGGAGGATGTGGGGAGGGTGTGGGGAGGGTGTGGGGAGGATGTGGGGAGGGTGTGGGGAGGGTGTGGGGAGGATGTGGGGAGGGTGTGGGAGGTGTGGGGAGGGTGGATGTGGGGAGGATGTGGGGAGGGTGTGGGGAGGGTGTGGGGAGGATGTGGGGAGGGTGTGGGGAGGGTGTGGGGAGGATGTGGGGAGGGTGTGGGGAGGGTGTGGGGAGGATGTGGGGAGGGTGTGGGGAGGGTGTGGGGAGGATGTGGGGAGGGTGTGGGGAGGGTGTGGGGAGGATGTGGGGAGGGTGTGGGGAGGGTGTGGGGAGGATGTGGGGAGGGTGTGGGGAGGGTGTGGGGAGGATGTGGGGAGGGTGTGGGGAGGGTGTGGGGAGGATGTGGGGAGGGTGTGGGGAGGGTGTGGGGAGGATGTGGGGAGGGTGTGGGGAGGGTGTGGGGAGGATGTGGGGAGGGTGTGGGGAGGGTGTGGGGAGGATGTGGGGAGGGTGTGGGGAGGGTGTGGGGAGGATGTGGGGAGGGTGTGGGGAGGGTGTGGGGGAGGATGTGGGGAGGGTGTGGGGAGGGTGTGGGGAGGGATGTGGGGAGGGTGTGGGGAGGGTGTGGGGAGGATGTGGGGAGGGTGTGGGGAGGGTGTGGGGAGGATGTGGGGAGGGTGTGGGGAGGGTGTGGGGAGGATGTGGGGAGGGTGTGGGGGAGGGTGTGGGGAGGATGTGGGAGGGTGTGGGGAGGGTGTGGGGAGGATGTGGGGAGGGTGTGGGGAGGGTGTGGGGAGGATGTGGGGAGGGTGTGGGGAGGGTGTGGGGAGGATGTGGGGAGGGTGTGGGGAGGGTGTGGGGAGGATGTGGGGAGGGTGTGGGGAGGGTGTGGGGAGGATGTGGGGAGGGTGGTGGGGAGGGGTGTGGGGAGGATGTGGGGAGGGTGTGGGGAGGGTGTGGGGAGGATGTGGGGAGGGTGTGGGGAGGGTGTGGGGAGGATGTGGGGAGGGTGTGGGGAGGGGTGTGGGGAGGTGTGGGGAGGGTGTGGGGAGGGTGTGGGGAGGATGTGGGGAGGGTGTGGGGAGGGTGTGGGGAGGATGTGGGGAGGGTGTGGGGAGGGTGTGGGGGAGGGATGTGGGAGGGTGTGGGGAGGGTGTGGGGAGGATGTGGGGAGGGTGTGGGGAGGGTGTGGGGAGGATGTGGGGAGGGTGTGGGGAGGGTGTGGGAGGATGTGGGGAGGGTGTGGGGAGGGTGTGGGGAGGGTGTGGGGAGGGTGTGGGGAGGGTGTGGGGAGGATGTGGGGAGGGTGTGGGGAGGGTGTGGGGAGGATGTGGGGAGGGTGTGGGGAGGGTGTGGGGAGGATGTGGGGAGGGTGTGGGGAGGGTGTGGGGAGGATGTGGGGAGGGTGTGGGGAGGGTGTGGGGAGGATGTGGGGAGGGTGTGGGGAGGGTGGTGGGGAGGGATGTGGGGAGGGTGTGGGGGAGGGTGTGGGGAGGATGTGGGGAGGGTGTGGGAGGGTGTGGGGAGGAGTGGGGAGGGTGTGGGGAGGGTGTGGGAGGATGTGGGGAGGGTGTGGGGGAGGGTGTGGGGAGGATGTGGGGAGGGTGTGGGGAGGGTGTGGGGAGGATGTGGGGAGGGTGTGGGGAGGGTGTGGGGAGGATGTGGGGAGGGTGTGGGGAGGGTGTGGGGAGGATGTGGGGAGGGTGTGGGGAGGGTGTGGGGAGGTGTGGGGAGGGTGTGGGGAGGGTGGGGAGGATGTGGGGAGGGTGTGGGGAGGGTGTGGGGAGGATGTGGGGAGGGTGTGGGGAGGGTGTGGGGAGGATGTGGGGAGGGTGTGGGGAGGGTGTGGGGAGGATGTGGGGAGGGTGTGGGGAGGGTGTGGGAGGATGTGGGGAGGGTGTGGGGAGGGTGTGGGGAGGATGTGGGGAGGGTGTGGGGAGGGTGTGGGGAGGATGTGGGGAGGGTGTGGGGAGGGTGTGGGGAGGATGTGGGGAGGGTGTGGGGAGGGTGTGGGGAGGATGTGGGGAGGGTGTGGGGAGGGTGTGGGGAGGATGTGGGGAGGGTGTGGGGGAGGGTGTGGGGAGGATGTGGGAGGGTGTGGGGAGGGTGTGGGGAGGATGTGGGGAGGGTGTGGGGAGGGTGTGGGGAGGATGTGGGGAGGGTGTGGGGAGGGTGTGGGGAGGATGTGGGGAGGGTGTGGGGAGGGTGTGGGGAGGATGTGGGGAGGGTGTGGGGAGGGTGTGGGGAGGATGTGGGGAGGGTGTGGGGAGGGTGTGGGGAGGATGTGGGGAGGGTGTGGGGAGGGTGTGGGGAGGATGTGGGGAGGGTGTGGGAGGGTGTGGGGAGGATGTGGGGAGGGTGTGGGGAGGGTGTGGGAGGATGTGGGAGAGGTTGGGGAGGGTGTGGGGAGATGTGGGGAGGGTGTGGGGAGGGTGTGGGGAGGATGTGGGGAGGGTGTGGGGAGGGTGTGGGGAGGATGTGGGAGGGTGTGGGGAGGGTGTGGGGAGGATGTGGGGAGGTGTGGGGGAGGTGTGGGGAGGATGTGGGGAGGGTGTGGGGGAGGGTGTGGGGAGGATGTGGGGAGGGTGTGGGGAGGGTGTGGGGAGGATGTGGGGAGGGTGTGGGGAGGTGTGGGGAGGATGTGGGGAGGGTGTGGGGAGGGTGTGGGAGGATGTGGGGAGGGTGTGGGGAGGGTGTGGGGAGGATGTGGGGAGGGTGTGGGGAGGGTGTGGGGAGGATGTGGGGAGGGGTGGGGAGGGTGTGGGGAGGATGTGGGGAGGGTGTGGGGAGGGTGTGGGGAGGATGTGGGGAGGGTGGGGAGGGTGTGGGAGGATGTGGGGAGGGTGTGGGGAGGGTGTGGGGAGGATGTGGGGAGGTGTGGGGAGGGTTTGGGAGGACTGTGGGGAGGGTGTGGGGAGGGTGTGGGGAGGGGTGGGAGGATGTGGGGAGGGTGTGGGGAGGGTGTGGGGAGGATGTGGGGAGGGTGTGGGGAGGGTGGGGGGAGGATGTGGGGAGGGTGTGGGGAGGGTGTGGGGAGGATGTGGGGAGGGTGTGGGGAGGGTGTGGGGAGGATGTGGGGAGGGTGTGGGGAGGGTGTGGGGAGGATGTGGGGAGGGTGTGGGGAGGGTGTGGGGAGGATGTGGGGAGGGTGTGGGGAGGGTGTGGGGAGGATGTGGGGAGGGTGTGGGGAGGGTGTGGGGAGGATGTGGGGAGGGTGTGGGGAGGGTGTGGGGAGGATGTGGGGAGGGTGTGGGGAGGGTGTGGGGAGGATGTGGGGAGGGTGTGGGGAGGGTGTGGGGAGGATGTGGGGAGGGTGTGGGGAGGGTGGGGGGAGGGATGTGGGGAGGGTGTGGGGAGGGTGTGGGGAGGATGTGGGGAGGGTGTGGGGAGGGTGTGGGGAGGATGTGGGGAGGGTGTGGGGAGGGTGTGGGGAGGATGTGGGGAGGGTGTGGGGAGGGTGTGGGGAGGATTGGGGAGGGTGTGGGGAAGGGTGTGATGGGGAGGGTGTGGGGAGGTGTGGGAGGATGTGGGGAGGGTGTGGGGAGGGTGTGGGGAGGATGTGGGGAGGGTGTGGGGAGGGTGTGGGGAGGATGTGGGGAGGGTGTGGGGAGGGTGTGGGGAGGATGTGGGGAGGGTGTGGGGGAGGGTGTGGGGAGGATGTGGGGAGGGTGTGGGGGAGGGTGTGGGGAGGATGTGGGGAGGGTGTGGGGAGGGTGTGGGGAGGATGTGGGGAGGGTGTGGGGAGGGTGTGGGAGGATGTGGGGAGGGTGTGGGGAGGGTGTGGGGAGGATGTGGGGAGGGTGTGGGGAGGGTGTGGGGAGGATGTGGGGAGGGTGTGGGGAGGGTGTGGGGAGGATGTGGGAGGGTGTGGGGAGGGTGTGGGGAGGTGTGGGGAGGGTGTGGGGAGGGTGTGGGGAGGATGTGGGGAGGGTGTGGGGAGGGTGTGGGGAGGGATGTGGGAGGGTGTGGGGAGGGTGTGGGAGGATGTGGGGAGGGTGTGGGGAGGGTGTGGGGAGGATGTGGGGAGGAGTGTGGGGAGGGTGTGGGGAGGATGTGGGAGGGTGTGGGGAGGGTGTGGGGAGGGTGTGGGGAGGAGTGTGGGGAGGGTGTGGGGAGGGTGGGGGAGGGTGTGGGGAGGGTGTGGGGAGGATGTGGGAGGGTGTGGGGAGGGTGTGGGGAGGGATGTGGGGAGGGTTGTGGGGAGGGGTGGGGAGGATGTGGGGAGGGTTGTGGGGGAGGGTGTGGGGAGGATGTGGGGAGGGTGTGGGGAGGGTGTGGGGAGGATGTGGGGAGGGTGTGTGGGGAGGGTGTGGGTGAGGATGTGGGGAGGGTGTGGGGAGGGTGTGGGGAGGATGTGGGGAGGGATGTGGGGAGGGTGTGGGGAGGATGTGGGGAGGGTGTGGGGAGGGTGTGGGGAGGATGTGGGGAGGGTGTGGGGAGGGTGTGGGGGAGGAGTGTGGGGAGGGTGTGGGGAGGGTGTGGGGAGGATGTGGGGAGGGTGTGGGGAGGGTGTGGGGAGGATGTGGGGAGGGTGTGGGGAGGGTGTGGGGAGGATGTGGGGAGGGTGTGGGGAGGGTGTGGGGAGGATGTGGGGAGGGTGTGGGGAGGGTGTGGGGAGGATGTGGGGAGGGTGTGGGGAGGGTGTGGGGAGGGTGTGGGAGGGTGCTTGGGCGGGGGTGGGGGAGGGTGTGGGGAGGATGTGGGGAGGGTGTGGGGAGGTGTGGGGAGGGTGTGGGGAGGGTGTGGGGAGGGTGTGGGGAGGGTGTGGGGAGGGTGTGGGGAGGGTGGTGGGAGGTTGTGGGGAGGATTGGGGAGGGTTGTGGGGAGGGTGTGGGGAGGGTGTGGGGAGGTGTGGGGAGGATGTGGGGAGGGTGTGGGGAGGGTGTGGGGAGGGTGTGGGGAGGGTGTGGGGAGGATGTGGGGGAGGGTGTGGGGAGTGGTGTGGGGAGGGTGTGGGGAGGGGTGTGGGGAGGATGTGGGGAGGGTGTGGGGCGGGTGTGGGGAGGGTGTGGGGAGGGGTGGGGAGGATGTGGGGAGGGTGTGGGGAGGGTGTGTGGGGATGTTGGGGGGGGAGGGTGTGGGGAGGGTGTGGGGAGGCTACACGTGGGGCGGGTGTGGGGAGGGTTGGGGAGGATGTGGGGAGGGTGTGGGGAGGGTGTGGGGAGGATGTGGGGAGGGTGTGGGGAGGGTGTGGGGAGGATGTGGGAGGGTGTGGGGAGGGTGTGGGGAGGATGTGGGGAGGGTGTGGGGAGGGTGTGGGGAGGATGTGGGGAGGGTGTGGGGAGGGTGTGGGGAGGATGTGGGGAGGGTGTGGGGAGGGTGTGGGGAGGATGTGGGGAGGGTGTGGGGAGGGTGTGGGGAGGATGTGGGGAGGGTGTGGGGAGGGTGTGGGGAGGATGTGGGGAGGGTGTGGGGAGGGTGTGGGGAGGGATGTGGGGGAGGGATGTGGGGAGGGTGTGGGGAGGATGTGGGGAGGGTGTGGGAGGGTGTGGGAGGATGTGGGGAGGGTGTGGGGAGGGTGTGGGGAGGATGTGGGGAGGGTGTGGGGAGGGTGTGGGGAGGATGTGGGGAGGGTGTGTGGGGAGGGTGTGGGGAGGATGTGGGGAGGGTGTGGGGAGGGTGTGGGGAGGATGTGGGGAGGGTGTGGGGAGGGTGTGGGGAGGATGTGGGGAGGGTGTGGGGAGGGTGTGGGGAGGATGTGGGGAGGGTGTGGGGAGGGTGTGGGGAGGATGTGGGGGAGGGTGTGGGGAGGGTGTGGGGGGATGTGGGGAGGGTGTGGGGAGGGTGTGGGGAGGATGTGGGGAGGGTGTGGGGAGGGTGTGGGGGAGGATGTGGGGAGGGTGTGGGGAGGGTGTGGGGAGGATGTGGGGAGGGTGTGGGGAGGGTGTGGGGAGGATGTGGGGAGGGTGTGGGGAGGGTGTGGGGAGGATGTGGGAGGGTGTGGGGAGGGTGTGGGGAGGATGTGGGGAGGGTGTGGGGAGGGTGTGGGGAGGATGTGGGGAGGGTGTGGGGAGGGTGTGGGGAGGATGTGGGGAGGGTGTGGGGAGGGTGTGGGGAGGATGTGGGGAGGGTGTGGGGAGGGTGTGGGGAGGATGTGGGAGGGGGTGGGGAGGGTGGGAGGATGTGGGGAGGGTGTGGGAGGATGTGGGGAGGGTGTGGGGAGGGTGTGGGGAGGATGTGGGGAGGGTGTGGGGAGGGTGTGGGGAGGAGTGTGGGGAGGAGGGTGTGGGGAGGATGTGGGAGGGTGTGGGAGGGTGTGGGGAGGATGGGGGAGGGTGTGGGAGGGTGGTGGGGAGGATGTGGGGAGGGTGTGGGAGGGTGTGGGGAGAATGTGGGGAGGGGTGTGGGGAGGGTGTGGGGAGGATGTTGGGGAGGGTGTGGGGGAGGGTGTGGGGAGGATGTGGGGAGGGTGTGGGGAGGGTGTGGGGAGGATGTGGGGAGGGTGTGGGGAGGGTGTGGGGAGGATGTGGGGAGGGTGTGGGGAGGGTGTGGGGAGGATGTGGGGAGGGTGTGGGAGGGTGTGGGGAGGATGTGGGGAGGGTGGTGGGGAGGGTGTGGGGAGGATGTGGGGAGGGTGTGGGGAGGGTGTGGGGAGGATGTGGGGAGGGTGTGGGGAGGGTGTGGGAGGATGTGGGGAGGGTGTGGGGAGGGTGTGGGGAGGATGTGGGAGGGTGTGGGGAGGGTGTGGGGAGGGATGTGGGGAGGGTGTGGGGAGGGTGTGGGGAGGGTGTGGGGAGGGTGTGGGGGAGGGTGTGGGGGAGGATGTGGGGGAGGGTGTGGGGAGGGTGTGGGGAGGATGTGGGGAGGGTGTGGGGAGGGTGTGGGGAGGATGTGGGGAGGGTGTGGGGAGGGTGTGGGAGGATGTGGGGAGGGTGTGGGGAGGGTGTGGGGAGGATGTGGGAGGTGGTGTGGGAGGGTGTGGGGAGGATGTGGGGAGGGTGTGGGAGGGTGTGGGGAGGATGTGGGGAGGGTGTGGGGAGGGTGTGGGGAGGATGTGGGGAGGGTGTGGGGAGGGTGTGGGGAGGATGTGGGGGAGGGTGTGGGGAGGGGTGTGGGGAGGATGTGGGTGAGGGTGTGGGGAGGGTGTGGGGAGGATGTGGGGAGGGTGTGGGGGAGGGTGTGGGGAGGATGTGGGGAGGGTGTGGGGAGGGTGTGGGGAGGATGTGGGGAGGGTGTGGGGAGGGTGTGGGGAGGATGTGGGGAGGGTGTGGGGAGGAGGTGTGGGGAGGATGTGGGGAGGGTGTGGGGAGGGTGTGGGGAGGATGTGGGGAGGGTGTGGGGAGGGTGTGGGGAGGATGTGGGGAGGGTGTGGGGAGGGTTGTGGGGAGGATGTGGGGAGGGTGTGGGGAGGGTGTGGGGAGGATGTGGGGAGGGTGTGGGGAGGGCTGTGGGGAGGATGTGGGGAGGGTGTGGGGAGGGTGTGGGGAGGATGTGGGGAGGGTGTGGGGAGGGTGTGGGGAGGATGTGGGGAGGGTGTGGGGAGGGTGTGGGGAGGATGTGGGGAGGGTGTGGGGAGGGTGTGGGGAGGATGTGGGGAGGGTGTGGGGAGGGTGTGGGGAGGATGTGGGAGGGTGTGGGGAGGGTGTGGGGAGGATGTGGGGAGGGTGTGGGGAGGGTGTGGGGGAGGATGTGGGGAGGGTGTGGGGAGGGTGTGGGAGGATGTGGGGAGGGTGTGGGGAGGGTGTGGGGAGGATGTGGGGAGGGTGTGGGGAGGGTGTGGGGAGGATGTGGGGAGGGTGTGGGGAGGGTGTGGGGAGGATGTGGGGAGGGTGTGGGGAGGGTGTGGGGAGGATGTGGGGAGGGTGTGGGGAGGGTGTGGGGGAGGGGTGTGGGGAGGGTGTGGGAGGATGTGGGGAGGGTGTGGGGAGGGTGTGGGGAGGATGTGGGGAGGGTGTGGGGAGGGAGTGGGGAGGGTGTGGGGAGGGTGTGGGGAGGATGTGGGGAGGGTGTGGGGAGGGTGTGGGGAGGGTGTGGGGAGGGTGTGGGGAGGGTGGGGGAGGGTGTGGGGAGGGTGTGGGGAGGGTGTGGGGAGGGTGTGGGGAGGGTGTGGGGAGGGTGTGGGAGGGTGTGGGGAGGGTGTGGGAGGGTGTGGGGAGGATGTGGGGAGGGTGTGGGGAGGGTGTGGGGAGGGTGTGGGGAGGTGTGGGGAGGATGTGGGGAGGGTGTGGGGAGGGTGTGGGGAGGGTGTGGGGAGGGTGTGGGGAGGATGTGGGGAGGGTGTGGGGGAGGGTGTGGGGAGGGATGTGGGGAGGGTTGTGGGAGGGTGTGGGGAGGAGTGTGGGGAGGGTGTGGGGAGGGTGTGGGGAGGATGTGGGGAGGGTGTGGGGAGGGTGTGGGGAGGATGTGGGGAGGGTGTGGGAGGTGTGGGGAGTGGGAGGTGTGGGGAGGGTGTGGGGAGGATGTGGGAGGGTGTGGGGAGGGTGTGGGGAGGATGTGGGGAGGGTGTGGGGAGGTGTGGGGAGGATGTGGGGAGGGTGTGGGAGGGTGTGGGGAGGATGTGGGGAGGGTGTGGGGAGGGTGTGGGGAGGATGTGGGGAGGGTGTGGGGAGGGTGTGGGGAGGATGTGGGGAGGGTGTGGGGAGGGTGTGGGGAGGATGTGGGGAGGGTGTGGGGGAGGGTGTGGGGAGGGATGTGGGGAGGGTGTGGGAGAGGGTGTGGGGAGGATGTGGGGAGGGTGTGGGGAGGGTGTGGGGAGGGATGTGGGGAGGGTGTGGGGAGGGTGTGGGGAGGATGTGGGGAGGGTGTGGGGAGGTTGTGGGGAGGGATGTGGGGAGGGTGTTGGGAGGGTGTGGGAGGTGTGGGGAGGATGTGGGAGGGTGTGGGGAGGGATGGTGGGGAGGGTGTGGGGAGGGTGTGGGGAGGGATGTGGGGAGGGTGTGGGGAGGTGTGGGGAGGGTGTGGGGAGGGTGTGGGGAGGGTATGTGGGGAGGGTGTGGGGAGGGTGTGGGGGGGTGTGGGGAGGTGTGGGGAGGGTGTGGGGAGGGTGTGGGGAGGGTGTGGGGAGGGTGTGGGGAGGGTGTGGGGAGGGTGTGGGGAGGGTGTGGGGAGGGTGTGGGGAGGGTGTGGGGAGGGTGTGGGGAGGGTGTGGGGAGGGTGTGGGGAGGGATGTGGGGAGGGTGTGGGGAGGGTGTGGGGAGGGTGTGGGGAGGGATGTGGGGAGGGTGTGGGAGGGTGTGGGGAGGGTGTGGGGAGGATGTGGGGAGGGTGTGGGGAGGGTGTGGGGAGGATGTGGGAGGGTGTGGGGAGGGTGTGGGGAGGATGTGGGGAGGGTGTGGGGAGGGTGTGGGGAGGTGTGGGGAGGGTGTGGGGAGGGTTTGGGAGGATGTGGGAGGGTGTGGGGAGGGTGGTGGGGGAGGGTGTGGGGAGGATGTGGGGAGGGTGTGGGGAGGTGTGGGGAGGATGTGGGGAGGGTGTGGGGAGGGTGTGGGGAGGGTGTGGGGAGGATGTGGGGAGGGTGTGGGGAGGTGTGGGAGGGTGTGGGGAGGATGTGGGGAGGGTGTGGGGAGGGTGTGGGGAGGATGTGGGGAGGGTGTGGGGAGGGTGTGGGGAGGATGTGGGGAGGGTGTGGGGAGGGTGTGGGGAGGATGTGGGGAGGGTGTGGGGAGGGTGTGGGGAGGATGTGGGGAGGGTGTGGGGAGGGTGTGGGGAGGATGTGGGGAGGGTGTGGGGAGGGTGTGGGGAGGATGTGGGGAGGGTGTGGGGAGGGTGTGTGGAGGATGTGGGGAGGTGTGGGGAGGGTGTGGGGAGGATGTGGGGAGGGTGTGGGGAGGGTGTGGGGAGGATGTGGGGAGGGTGTGGGGAGGGTGTGGGGAGGATGTGGGGAGGGTGTGGGGAGGGTGTGGGGAGGATGTGGGGAGGGTGTGGGGAGGGTGTGGGGAGGATGTGGGGAGGGTGTGGGGAGGGTGTGGGGAGGATGTGGGGAGGGTGTGGGGAGGGTGTGGGGAGGATGTGGGGAGGGTGTGGGGAGGGTGTGGAGGATGTGGGGAGGGTGTGGGGAGGGTGTGGGGAGGGTGTGGGGAGGGTGTGGGGATGTGGGGAGGGTGTGGGGAGGGTGTGGGGAGGGTGTGGGGAGGGTGTGGGGAGGATGTGGGGAGGGTGTGGGGAGGGTGTGGGGAGGGTGTGGGGAGGGTGTGGGGAGGGTGTGGGGAGGGTGTGGGGAGGGTGTGGGAGGGTGTGGGGAGGGTGTGGGAGGGTGTGGGGAGGGTGTGGGGAGGGTGTGGGGAGGGTGTGGGAGGATGTGGTGAGGTGTGGGGAGGGATGTGGGGAGGGTGTGGGGAGGGTGGTGGGGAGGATGTGGGAGGGTGTGGGAGGGTGTGGGGAGGGTGTGGGGAGGGTGTGGGGAGGAGTGTGGGGAGGGTGTGGGGAGGTGTGGGGAGGGTGTGGGGAGGATGTGGGGAGGGTGTGGGGAGGGTGTGGGGAGGGTGTGGGGAGGGTGTGGGAGGGTGTGGGGAGGATGTGGGGAGGGTGTGGGGAGGGTGTGGGGAGGGTGTGGGGAGGTGTGGGGAGGGTGTGGGGAGGGTGTGGGGAGGGATGTGGGGAGGGTGTGGGGAGGGTGTGGGGAGGATGTGGGGAGGGTGTGGGGAGGGGGTGGGGGAGGGTGTGGGGAGGGTGTGGGGAGGGTGTGGGAGGATGTGGGGAGGGTGTGGGGAGGGTGTGGGGAGGATGTGGGAGATGTGGGAGGGTGTGGGGAGGATTGGGAGGGTGTGGGGAGGTGTGGGGAGGATGTGGGAGGGTGTGGGGAGGGTGTGGGGAGGATGTGGGGAGGGTGTGGGGAAGGGTGTGGGGAGGATGTGGGGAGGGTGTGGGAGGGTGTGGGAGGATGTGGGGAGGGTGTGGGGAGGGTGTGGGGAGGATGTGGGGAGGGTGTGGGGAGGGTGTGGGGAGGAGTGGGAGGTGTGGGGAGGGTGTGGGAGGATTGGGAGGGTGTGGGGAGGAGGTGTGGGGAGGATGTGGGGAGGGTGTGGGGAGGGTGTGGGGAGGATGTGGGGAGGGTGTGGGGATGGTGTGGGGAGGATGTGGGGGAGGGTGTGGGGAGGGTGTGGGAGGGATGTGGGGGAGGGGTGTGGGGAGGGTGTGGGAGGATGTGGGGATGGGTGTGGGGAGAGGTGGTGGGGAGAGCATGTGGGGAGGGTGTGGGAGGGTGTGGGGAGGTGCTGGGGAGGTGTGGGGAGGGTGTGGGAGGGTGTGGGGAGGATGTGGGGAGGGTGTTGGGGAGGTGTGGGGAGGATGTGGGGAGGGTGTGGGGAGGGTGTGGGGAGGATGTGGGGAGGGTGTGGGAGGGTGTGGGGAGGATGTGGGGAGGGTGTGGGGAGGGTGTGGGGAGGATGTGGGGAGGGTGTGGGGAGGGTGTGGGGAGGATGTGGGGAGGGTGTGGGGAGGGTGTGGGGAGGATGTGGGGAGGGTGTGGGGAGGGTGTGGGGAGGATGTGGGGAGGGTGTGGGGAGGGTGTGGGGAGGGTGTGGGGAGGGTGTGGGGAGGATGTGGGGAGGGTGTGGGGAGGGTGTGGGGAGGGTGTGGGGAGGGTGTGGGGAGGATGTGGGGAGGTGTGGGGAGGGTGGGGAGGGTGTGGGGAGGGTGTGGGGAGGGTGTGGGGAGGGTGTGGGGAGGGTGTGGGGAGGGTGTGGGGAGGATGTGGGGAGGGTGTGGGGAGGGTGTGGGGAGGGTGTGGGGAGGGTGTGGGGAGGATGTGGGGAGGGTGTGGGGAGGGTGTGGGGAGGGTGTGGGGAGGGTGTGGGGAGGATGTGGGGAGGGTGTGGGGAGGGTGTGGGGAGGGTGTGGAGGGTGTGGGAGGATGTGGGGAGGGTGTGGGGAGGGTGTGGGGAGGGTGTGGGGAGGGTGTGGGGAGGATGTGGGGAGGGTGGGGAGGGTGTGGGGAGGGTGTGGGGAGGGTGTGGGGAGGGTGTGGGGAGGGTGTGGGAGGGTGTGGGGAGGGTGTGGGAGGGTGTGGGGAGGATGTGGGGAGGGTGTGGGGAGGGGTGGGGGAGGGTGTGGGGAGGATGTGGGGAGGGTGTGGGGAGGGTGTGGGGAGGATGTGGGGAGGGTGTGGGGAGGGTGTGGGGAGGATGTGGGGAGGGTGTGGGGAGGTGTGGGGGAGGATGTGGGGAGGGTGTGGGGGAGGGTGTGGGGAGGATGTGGGGAGGGTGTGGGGAGGGTGTGGGGAGGATGTGGGGAGGGTGTGGGAGGGTGTGGGGAGGATGTGGGGAGGGTGTGGGGAGGGTGTGGGGAGGATGTGGGGAGGGTGTGGGGAGGGTGTGGGGAGGATGTGGGGAGGGTGTGGGGAGGGTGTGGGGAGGATGTGGGGAGGGTGTGGGAGGGTGTGGGGAGGATGTGGGGAGGGTGTGGGGAGGGTGTGGGGAGGATGTGGGGAGGGTGTGGGGAGGGTGTGGGGAGGATGTGGGGAGGGTGTGGGGAGGGTGTGGGGAGGATGTGGGGAGGGTGTGGGGAGGGTGTGGGGAGGATGTGGGGAGGGTGTGGGGAGGGTGTGGGGAGGATGTGGGGAGGGTGTGGGGAGGGTGTGGGAGGGTGTGGGGAGGGTGTGGGGAGGGTGTGGGAGGGTGTGGGGAGGGTGTGGGGAGGGTGTGGGGAGGATGTGGGAGGGTGTGGGGAGGGTGTGGGGAGGATGTGGGGAGGTGTGGGGAGGGTGTGGGGAGGATGTGGGGAGGTGTGGGAGGGTGTGGGGGGGTGTGGGGGGATGTGGGGAGGGTGTGGGGAGGGTGTGGGGAGGATGTGGGGAGGGTGTGGGGAGGGTGTGGGGAGGATGTGGGGAGGGTGTGGGGAGGGTGTGGGGAGGATGTGGGGAGGGTGTGGGGAGGGTGTGGGGAGGATGTGGGGGAGGGTGTGGGGAGGGTGTGGGGAGGATGTGGGGAGGGTGTGGGGAGGGTGTGGGGAGGATGTGGGGAGGGTGTGGGGAGGGTGTGGGAGGATGTGGGGAGGGTGTGGGGAGGGTGTGGGGAGGATGTGGGGAGGGTGTGGGGAGGGTGTGGGGAGGATGTGGGGAGGGTGTGGGGAGGGTGTGGGGAGGATGTGGGGAGGGTGTGGGGAGGGTGTGGGGAGGATGTGGGGAGGGTGTGGGGAGGGTGTGGGGAGGATGTGGGGAGGGTGTGGGGAGGGTGTGGGGAGGATGTGGGGAGGGTGTGGGGAGGGTGTGGGGAGGATGTGGGGAGGGTGTGGGGAGGGTGTGGGGAGGGTTGGGGAGGGGTGGGGGAGGATGTGGGGAGGGTGTGGGGAGGGTGTGGGGAGGGTGTGGGGAGGGTGTGGGGAGGATGTGGGGAGGGTGTGGGGAGGGTGTGGGGAGTGTGGGGGAGGGTGTGGGGAGGGTGTGGGGAGGGTGTGGGGAGGATGTGGGGAGGGTGTGGGAGGGTGTGGGGAGGGTGTGGGGAGGATGTGGGGAGGGTGTGGGGAGGGTGTGGGGAGGATGTGGGGAGGGTGTGGGGAGGGTGTGGGGAGGATGTGGGGAGGGTGTGGGGAGGGTGTGGGGAGGATGTGGGGAGGGTGTGGGGAGGGTGTGGGGAGGGTGTGGGGAGGGTGTGGGGGGGATGTGGGGAGGGGTGGGGAGGGTGTGGGGAGGATGTGGGGAGGGTGTGGGGAGGGTGTGGGGAGGATGTGGGGAGGGTGTGGGGAGGGTGTGGGGAGGATGTGGGGAGGGTGTGGGTAGTTGGTGAGGAGGAGCGGGGAGAGCAGAAGGTTGTATCAACGTGATCTAACCGGGAAAGAGGGGGTAGGTTAGAACGTACCTGGGAGGGTAGGGCGTACCTTGTGGGGTTATACTGTACCTGGGAGGGCTGTTAGCTAAGGGTTTTTCAGATCTGCGTTTTTTTTCACCAGTTTTTACTGTTTGATTCCTTTGCTTAAGCGTCCTCTCTACTACTGCAGCCCTTCGAAACATGAGTCAGGGTGACCCTTGGGAGGGCTGTTAGCTTGAACGTGTGGCCCACACATTGGGGATGATCCTGAGCCAGCTTGATACACAGCAGGTTGGTTCTGACCCAATGGGAATGGGCAGGTTCTATCTGGGGCAGGGCGTACCTGAGAAAGTAGGGCGTCTATCCAACGTATTCAAGATCGCAGATAATCCCAGCGATCTCCTCGCAGCTCCTCCCCCCTTTTTTGAGTCTCAACTCAAGAGCCATGTAAATACAACACATACCAACAACGTCACTCGCAGCGCAACAACATACGTATCCAAGGTCGTCACAGATGACGTCAAAGACGCAGCTGTCCCCCTATTGAGTAACCCACAGAAGCTCATCCGTTATAAACGCATACAAACAACGTTACTCACAGCGCAACAACGTATCCGTAGTCGTCACAGATAACCCCAAAGAGCTCGTCGCAGCTCTTGGCGCTCTTCCAGTATGCCTTGGGGCTGCGCGCGGGGTTGGTGAAGTTGAGCTCGTTGCGGATGCGCAGCAGCGTCTTCCCTGCCGGGGCAGGTAGAGGGGAGGAGGACAGGCATGCATGAACTGGCAGGTACGCATTGCACAAGGGGAGACATTATGGAGTGGCATCATCAGCATGTCGCTCGAAGCTCTTCCAGTACGCCTTGGGGCTGCGGGCGGGGTTGGTGAAGTTGAGCTCATTGTGGATGCGCAGCAGCGTCATCCCTGGAGGAGCAGTCAGAGGGGAAGCCATGCAGTGGCATGGAGCGGGTTCGGGCATCGGAAGGGACACTGGGAGTGGTCTGGAGGGTCTTCTGGGAGGAGGGGGAGAAAGGGGGAGGGAGCGCGAGCGGGAGGGGGTGGATTTGTGGGTGGAGGGGGAACAGATGGACACAGTTGATGACTTAAGCAACTTCTGATTCTTCTAATGCAGGTTTGACCGCAGAACGACGAGCCGGGACATACGCAGCGAAATGTCGTCGTTGCTCGATTTGAGCGACCAACCCTGTACGTGGTAACCAGAAAAGGTTACAGACTGGCTCGTTGATGGAACCTGTCAAACGGTTGCATTCGGAGGAGCAACGACAGTATTACACGAACCGTCACGGACACAGCACTACGGACTTCGGGGGGATAAACTACATGGTAGCCTGGTAACCAGGAAACATACAGTCGGTTCCGTTGACGGCTTGAGCAAACGCGGTCTGCTGCTGCAGGGCTAGCGACAGAAGAAACACGGCCACGAGCGACAGACTAAATCGCGGGTCGTGGAAACGACACGTTCTCTCGTCCCTCCCCATTTCCCAGCGTACTATGCCGTCTGGATTTCCCATTTCCGAGGGTATGACGTGTGAAATTAGTAACTACTCGAGCCGCGACGTCAGCGGGAAAAACACGTTTGTCTCACCGCACATTCTCGCGGCGGATATGCGGATTCTCTAGAAAGGGAATGATTGTACGCGATGAAAACTGACGCGATGGTCGTAATATGTCACACTGAATGCGCGAATGACCGGAGCGTCCGAATTGGCGAATTTAGCCAAAATGAGAGCTAGCGGAAAGAAATGTCACGTAACAGCGGTGTCAACTCTTGAGTGTGTGTCTAGCGAGACTGTCTCGTCCACGTTGAGTGGGGGAATAGTCAGCGAGGGAAGCGGAGCGGATGGAATGGGCAGGGAGGGGTTTGGCTAGTAAGGTAATGGCTAGGGAGGGAGTGGCTAAGGAGAAAGCCTCGAAGTCGAAGCGTGGAAGACAAAGGCACCTTCTTATTATCCTGCCAAGATGGAAACGCGTCAGAATATTTTTTAACGCCATCATATTCCCCATGGATGCCAGAAACGCAATCTCTAGGGAGAGACAACCTGGCGGCCAATTTCTGACAAGCATGTGACAATGGTGGAAAGATTTGAATGCAGAGGGCAAGAACCAGCTGCTCCTTACAGCAAATCTCCAAAAAACATTTTCAAATTCCTTCATTGCATCACATACAAAAAGCAAATTGTTTTGCTCAACGATTTCAGCATGTTTTTTTCACAAAGCCGTGTAACATTTTTGTTTGCGCCAGAAAATGGTTGTCGCATGGGAGGCACGCCTGGTGTACAGTGCATCGTATCGAGCTGCCTAACTTTGTTTGACAGTTGCCCACTGCCCAGGGCTTCCTTTTCAAGCCGGGCACCAGCTTTTCTGATTCGCGAATCAGCAAACCCATTGACCCACACTCTGCCAGTGGGCTCCCTGCTCCACATCGCCCGCTTCGGGATTGCATTCCGTACATTCACCTACATCATATACGGAAGATACATTAGCTTGTATAATTTTCATCGTAAAATTTATCGCATGCTATAGTGCGAAGCTTATATAGCATATCTTAGAGTGGCTCTGCTGATAGCAGAAAAGGGACACCTGACTCAACACTAAGAGCTATTCCGGGGAAGCGTATAAAAATGGAAGCAGTACTTTCCACCGCGTTCCACCGTATAGCGTTTAATTCACGCGTATTGGCTGTCCAAACGCTAGTGTTCATCCCGTAGAGTTCGCATCGCATCATGCGTGCACCATAGCCTGCTGTGACACGGTTCATGCGTTGCGTTGCGCGAGTGAAAAGGAGGATAATCACGCGATACTACCTTCCATACATTCGCTACAAGAACCACGCCATTCGTCGGCCGCTCCTCAGGACATCCTATACCATGTCACTTAGTGCAACTATCCAAGCCGCGGCATCATGTCGTCCCTAACGGTTAAGGAGATCAAGGGGACCTTTAGGATGGAACCAGCTCACCTTGTGACAAAAAGGACGTGTCGAAGCAGCTAATAGGAACGGGGAGAGCCGACTGAGTGGCTTTTAAGCAATATGCGCTGTAGCAGGAGATGCTGTAGCGGGACAACTCGCTGCGTTATGCACTTTACTGGAACCCACTGTAGCGGGGGAGATTTCACCGAAATGCGTAGTAACAAAACGCGCTATTCCGAGATTCATCGTAGAAGCATCGGGTCCCCTTCCCTGGTGCCACGTGGCATGTTCCGCGGCAGCCCCTCGCTGCTGCTGCTGCTGCTGCCGCTACTAGTGCTTCTCCTTCCCTCTTGCATCGGACCGCCTGGCGCCGCTGCTGTCGCTGTCCTCTACCCGCAATGTACGTACGTTGTCTCTGCTGCTGTTATGAGTCGACTCAAAACACGCCGCTGCTGTAGCTGTCCTCCACCCGCAATGTCCTCTACCCGCAATGTACGTACATAGTCTCTGCTGCTCTTGCCTTGAAGTCTTGAAGCTGTACATGGTATGGTACTGCGTCGCTGCTCTTGCTGTTTCTATCCGCAATGTGGTCATTTTGCACTCTTGATTTCAACTTCACTATAAGACAGCTCGCTGAGTTTAATGTGATCTCCTGTTACACATAGATACTTGTGGCTAGCTAGTAAATCCTGACACTATCACACAGATCAAGTTTGTTTACTATAATCCTTATCCCCGTTACAGGGCTGGCCCTCGTTTCGATAAGAGACGGGCTCACGTTCCTGTACCCTAGCCGCAGCCCCAAGGCATTCTGGACCAGCCGCTCGGATTGCTCCCTGCTCTTTGGGGCCGGCTGCGACTCCCTCGGGAATGTCGTGTCTCTGTGAGTGTACGGCTTGGGGAGGAACGTATGTCTCTGTGAGTGTACGTCTTGGGGAGGAACGTGTGTCTCTGTGAGTGTACGGCTTGGGGAGGAACGTGTGCCTCTGTGAGTGTACGGCTTGGGGAGGAACGTGTGCCTCTGTGAGTGTACGGCTTGGGGAGGAACGTGTGTCTCTGTGAGTGTTCTTAGTGTACCATCAAGTTTTTATGTTGATTGGGACACGCTCGGATCGGACCGCTCCCCACTTTTTGCGGCTGGCTGCGACTCCCTTGGGAACGTCGTGTCTCTGTCAGTGTACCATCTCAGGAGAAACGTTGTACCATCGTGTTATTATTGATGAATAGGGACACACACGGATTGCTTCCTGCTCTTCTTAGCTGACTATATCTCCCTGGGAACGTGTGTTTCCGTGAGTGTACACACCTTTCGTTATTGTTGGTATATATTTGTTAGAAATTGAACGCTGTGTCATTCACGTGAGTCTTTGGTCCCTTACTCTGAGTCTGCTCCAATCTGCTCTTCTCTGCTCTGCTCTGGTTTGCCCTGCTCTGCTCTCCTCTGGTCACTAACCCAAGCAGGTCTCTGTACGATGCGATTGGGACGATCCCGACTGCACTGGGTGACTTGACAGCCCTACGATCGCTGTGAGTGAGCACACTGCACACAGCACACAATCATATACACTAATTTGTTATGTTTATAAGCAGATGTATATTGTAATGACGCAACTATTAATCACCACCTCGCGATGTTGCCTCTACAACGCACATTCTCACTTCACATCACACACCCTCCCCCCTTCCCTCCCCAACCACCCCTGTCTGTTTGCCATGCCATTTGGCCGGAATTGCCAGCTTCATCCCTCCCCAGCTTCCCAGCCTCCCAGCCTCCGAGCTTCCTTCTTTGAATTGCCTCATAATCACCCCCACTCAACCCCACCCACCCACCTACCCCTGCCCGTCATGCCACCAAAACTGCAATCGGAGTCACCCCCGCCCTCTCAGCCTCCATTTTTTAGTTGACTCAAAGATCGCCCCCACCCCACACTTTACTTGGCACACCCTCCTTCCCCCCCATTTCCCATAACCCCCTCCTCCCCTTTTCCACACCCACCCCCACCTGCCGTGCCACCAGAACTGCCAACGGAGACATCCCCAGCCTTCCAGCTTCCATGACACAGCTCACCTCGCTAACACTCCTGTAAGGGGTTGAGAAGGGTTTGAACCGTTGCAATGCAATCTATGCTCGCCTTGTGCTTGCTTTCCAAGCCCTTAGCAAGCGTGCGGCGCGTGCGCGCAACGCAGCTCGCCTCACCTCGCTAACACAGACAGGTCTTCCAAGCAGTCCCTCGCCCCCTTCCCTTCCCGCACCTCTCAGTAAGAATTCTCAAAAGCACCTCTCCGCTACCTCGTTACCACTCATGTACGATACCTCTTCCATGCACTCCGTTCTCGTCCCTTCCCCTCGCTCCCTTCCAGTGCCTTTCATTTCATTCTCCTCGCCAACGCTCATTTTCGATACCTCTTCCACCCAAACCTCGCCGTCCCTTGCATTCACCTCTGTCTGTCCCCCCCTCTGTATCGATTTTTGAGGCACCTAAAAAATCCTTTCATTCACCTCTGTCTGTCTGTCCCCCTCTCTGTGTCATCTAACCCCACGGTCCCCACCCCTCCCCTTGCCACCCACCCCTCCCCTTGCCATCCACCCCTCCCCTTGCCATCCGCCCTTCCTCTTGCCGCCCACCCCTCCTCACATCCATCCACCACGAGGCACGTCATTCAGCAAGGCCGGACTCACTCACTCACGGGCCCCTTCTCCTCCGTCTTTTCTTCCCTTCCATCGTCCGTCCCCTCCCCTCGATCTTCCAATCCCCTTGCCATCCGCCCCACCCCACACCTTCCACGAGGCAGGTCGTTCAGCAAGAGCGGCCTCACAGGGCCCTTCCCCACCATCTTCCCCTCCCCTTAACCGTCCCACCGACCCCTTTCCTTCTCCCTCCCCTTTCCGTGCCACCCACCTCTCCCCACACTTACAACATGACAGGTCGTTCAGCAAAGCCGGTCTCACAGGGCCCTTCCCCTCCGTCATCTCTGCACTCAAGAGTCTTAAAGACCTGTGCGTGCGTGCGTATGTGTGTGTGCGTGTGCGTGCGTGTGTGTGTGTGTGTGTGTGTGTGTGTGTGTGTGTGTGTGTGTGTGCGCATGTGTGCGACGTGCGTGCGTGCATGTGTGCACGCATTTGTGTGTGTGTGCTTGCATGTGTGTGAGCGTGTGTGCGTGCGTGCGTGTGCTCAGTCATTCTCCATCGTCGTCACCCGTATGCTTACTCAGGCACGCCCATTCGCGCCATCCCGTTTACCCCCCTTCTCCTTGAGATCATCCTGACTGCTCACTGTTGTCGCCATCCCTCTATCCTCGCTTTCCATTGATATTTTTCCCCATTCTCCTCGCATTTTGACATCAGGAAACTTCCTAGCAACTCCCTGTCTGGCCCCATTCCTCCCTTCCTCTCCACGCTCACATCCCTCACCACCCTGTATGTAAGGGAGCGATTCTTTTGCACGAACGATTCTTTTGCACGAACGATTCTTTTGCACGAACGATTCTTTTGCACTAACGATTCTTTTGCACTAACGATTCTTTTGCACTAACGATTCTTTTGCACTAACGATTCTTTTGCACTAACGATTCTTTTGCACTAACGATTCTTTTGCACTA